GAGTGGGTTAATGGGGGGAAAAAGGGGACATATGTAATACTTTCAATAATAAAGATTAAAAAAATAAGTAAATAGATAATAAATAAATAAATAAATAAATAAAAGATAGCATTAAATTTTACCTTCTAAGATTCCTATCCAGACCTTAATATCTTGGACTCGATATACTATCTCCACATAAAATAATTGTTTTTATTATTTTGTTACTAGAGGCCTGCTGCACGAATTCGTGCACATGTGGGGTCCCTCAGGGTGGCCTGCGGGGATTGGGCCCCAGCTTGCACCCCCAGGTTCACAGCCTCAGCTTGCGCCCCCAGCCTTGCAGCCCTGCCTGGCACCCCACCGTGGCCTGGCGCTGACCCCTCACCTGCTCCACTGTTCTGCCTATGAGACGATCGATCGATCGGGGCCGGGCCCTCTTCCCAGCTCCCTCAGTGCCTGGGAGCCGAGTGGCGGCTCCAAAAAAAAAGCTGCCACCATCTGTGGGGCGATCTGCGGGGCAATCTGGCCCCCTCTCATACCCACCTTGGCCTGGCACCACCTGCTCACCTTCTCCATCATCCCGCCATGGTCCTGCTCTTGTCGGGGCCCATTGGGGCCGGCAGCACCTCCACTGCCGCCCACTACTGGCACCCGTGTAGCCGACACCCTCATGTTCTGAGCCACCCCCTGGTGGTCAGCACACATCATAGCGAGTGGTTGAACTCCCGAGGGGACAATTTGTATATTTGGCTTCTATTATATAGGGTTATTTTGAAAGTCAAGGGATCAATGCTATTTTTTTTTTTAAATCTGCAGGCTTTCAAACATTCCGCACTTGAATAATTCAAAGGATACCCTGCCATGTAGACCCCCCCATTTCATCTGTGGGTGGCTCTAATACTCCAGAGACACAATTTTACTGGACAGTTCTTCTCTGCTGTCAGCCTGTGGCAAAAGTAAAACTATCCCAGGACCCAACGAGCAGCCACGCCTGCAGCCAGACAGGGAAGCCACGGGCCACATGGGCACAGGCTGACCCAGCGACCTCACACACATGGCACAAAGAGGAACAAAGAAGTTGGAGACATTTGTTCTCATCAAACACACTAGGCTGTGAGGAAGAATCCACACGTTAAGGAAAAGAGAGAGACTAGCCAGATGAGCCACTTTTTCAGACGGGGTACCTGAAACTGCTTCCTTCCCAGATCTTCGGCCGGTGTGGGATTCAAGACCAACTGTGTAGGGGTAAACAGTGCAGAAGCAGTGCACTGTGGGTCATTTTCCATCCACTCTCTACATACAACATGGGGAGGGGGACAGAAATGGCAAGAAAATCATCCAAGCTGAGTATCCATGACAGGCCATCCGTCACCTGGGGAAACACATCGGGGTGCCCCTGGGCTTGCCACAAGTCAAATAACTGTTTGGTAACAACTCACTTGAAAACAACCACCCTCTGGCCCCCTCCTCAACATCCAGTCAATCCAGAAAAAGGAACTTGCTGGTTATCTCCCCACAACACTCTGATTCAGAGGCCGGTCACTTCCAGGAGTTGACATCATGGATTCCAGGTTCTGCCCTCTCCCTTTTCCCTTTTCCTTTCTTCTTCAGCATTCTTTTTAAAAACTGATTTCAGCCCTAACCGGTTTGGCTCAGTGGATAGAGCGTCAGCCTGTTGACTCAGGGGTCCCAGGTTCGATTCCAGTCAAGGGCATGTACCTTGGTTGCGGGCACATCCCCAGTAGGAGGTGTGCAGGAGGCAGCTGATCGATGTTTCTCTCTCATCGATGTTTCTAACTCTCTATCCCTCTTCCTTCCTCTCTGTAAAAAATAAATAAAATATAAACAAAGAAAAATTGATTTCAGAGAGAGGAAGGGAGAAGGTGAGAGAGACAGAAGCATCAATGATAAGAGAGAATCATCGATCGGCTGCCTCTGGGGATCGAGCCCGCAACCCAGGCATGTGCCCTGCCTGGGAATCGAACCGTGACCTCCTGGTTCATGGATCGACACTCAACCACTGAGCCACACTGGCTGGGCTTAAGCATCCTTTTGGTGTCCACTAGGAAAGGACAAAAGTCCCCAAACAGCAGCTCTGTTCCAGGAAGGGCCTGCGTGGTGGCTCTCCCCAAAGTGAGCTCCAGTGTTGCCCAGGGAACCAGAGAAAGAGCAGGTCCCCCCGAGTTGATCATCAGCTTCAGGCAATAGGGTTATAATCTGGGGCTTAAAAAAGGGAAGCAAGATTCTGAGCATCATAAAAACACAAATGCTCCCTTGTCTAAAATAAGGAAGATCAGAGGCAGCTAAAAATGTTAGCTTTAAAGTTGGGAAGGTGAATTAGCTTGTGGAAGAAAGCAATAGGCTGTGTCTTTCATTGAGGTAGAAAGCGCGCCTGAAATCTAAACCTGACTTCTAATCGAAACCTACATACCATGTTGTTAGTTTTCTGTGTTGCAGATTGCTATACATAGTTAAATGAGACCTTCTTCAAAACTGACATCCAATTGATCGTCTTCAGGTCAGAGATACAATAAACAAATAGGCCCTTTCTCAAAACACTCTCTCTCAAGTTCCAAAGGTAACACTGATTAAAATCAAATCTCAACACACTTCAAAAGCTTCTCTCATTCGTGACCTGACTCTTGGCTTTGAACCTAAACACCACAGACCATAGAAATCCCGGACACCAGAACACACACGTTCTGTTTTCTAGACAGGAGTCATTAAAATTAGACGACTTAAAATTCATCCTTAAAATTAGAAAACAACGCAGCTGAAAATAACAGGTTCTTAAACAATGTTTAAAAAAATGAAAATTCCTATTCATCACAGGTACAAACAAAATACCTCTTTTAGTGGCAGAGGGACACAAAAATCAAAATGAAAAACTGTCAGTGGCTTGCCACACACACACACACACACACACACACACACACACGTTCTCCAGATACTTACTGGGGCAGTGGCCGGTGCGCACCCTGCCTGTCCAGCTGCCAAGTGCCGGAGCGCGAGCAGCTGTTTCCTTCAGGCTGGGGCTGTGTCTTAATCAGTCACATGAGCCTCCTGATAAACACGGCCGCGGTGCCAGGAGGTCAGAAACTGAAGATCATTATTCTCCTTATTCGCAAACCTTCCTGAAGCCCGCGCTGGCTCGGCCCTTTCATTAGCAGGCAGAGCAGCCCATCCCACAGTGTGTTTTCTTTGAGCCACAACCCCGCACAGCTGATAAGTCACGCTGGAGGGCAGGTCACGGCCAGTGGAAAGTTGATGTGTTTGTGTGTGTGTGAAGGGAAGGAGGTAGGGGGGAGGGGAGGGGAGGTTGGCAGTCTCTATACTATCTCATCTCACACTCAAGCTTTCACGGGGGCTCTGGACTTGCAAGAAGAAGGCGGCACAGCCTGGCACCGAAGGTGGGAGGTGCTCTCCCCTCCAGGGGCCCCGGGAGAACGTCAATCTGTCGCTCCATCTCGGTTTCCTTCTCTCAGCATGCCAGGCTCCCGTCTAGTGGAAGAGGCACAGGCTCCCGTCTAGTGGAAGAGGCACAAGACGGAGTGGACTGTTCTGAGGAAGGCAGATGAACAGGGTGAGATGGCTGAGGTTTAATTTCAACACAGCCAGGGCTGCTGGGGGGGGGGGGGGGGCAGTGTGTGAGGGGTGGATGCCAGTGCCTCTACAGAGCTCATGGAAGTGGCTTCAGGTCCCTTCAAGCAAACTTCCACATAGTGATCTGTCGGGTTGTGTCAACATTTGGGGGTAGAGCAGAGCAGATGTGATGATCCCCCAGGAATGAGAGTGGAAAAAGAAATGATCATGAAATTTACAAAGCATGGGACAGGTGTGCTAGGAAGCTGGGCCCACCACCCATCCTGGGGGCTTTGTTGAATTCCCACCCCGCCCCCTCTTCAGGGAAAGCCCGTGGACTCTGACTTTGGATGGTACCTGACCTTGGACTTCTTGGTACAGTAAGAGTGACACTTTCCAAAATCAGTGCCCGAGCAGGGTAGAGTGCAGATATGACGGTCAGCGCACTTGGCAACGTGAACATCTGAAAAGTCTGCAAGAGGTTAAAACGCCCCAGGGGATTTCTGAGCCATAATGAGCCTGTTAAACTGTCACCCTTGATTTTTAATAAATGAGATCTTAATAAAGGCGCCTGTGTGGGCATTTTCTCATAGAATTATTCACAGCGTGAATCAAACCAGAAGTTTCCCTCCATACAAAGGACAGAGTGTTTGTCCAAAATAACAGAAAAAGACCCAAAGACCTCCGGTCTAGCCATTCTTTCAGGGGACTAATTTGTTGTCAACATGTGGGAGCCCAATGTGCAAATGGAAAGTTTTTTTGCAAGCTTCATCGCAGATCCCTTTTTAAGGATTCAAAGTTAGTAGTAGAAATAAACAATGAATATCAAAATACAATGTGCTAAAATAAATATCACCGGCGCAAACATTTCTCCTTGTGTGCTGATGTGAGCAATCATTCTTCAGAAACAGAAAATGAGGCCTATTGAAGATCTGAAATATTATTTGGGTTTAGACACACTCTGTATTTACGCAACAGAAACCTTTCCGACCTTATGGCATCCATCCATCACTTTATTTTCAGCTGACTGTGTTAATTATTCTCACAATCCATGTCACACACCACATGGCCAGTCACTTCTTGAAACCCTCGGATAACCCAGACAAAAAAATAGCCCGGGGAAATGCAAGCCTAGAGATTCTCTGGTTCTATTAGCAAGGAGGGAGGGCTGGATCCTGATCTTACCTACCAGGCAAACCGTCAACGCAGACCGAGACCCTGCACCCTTCCATGGGTTCGACAATGACACCTTCTTCCAGCCTTGCCCAGTATCAGGAGACCCCACTTCCCTGCCCAGTCTGCCTACAGGTACCAATCATTTGCTTTGACTCAAAAAGAGGGGTTCTCCTCCTTCAGAGGCCATGCCCCCCTGTGGCTTGTCTCCCCCTGTGGCTTGTCTCCCCCTGGGGCTTGTCTCTCCTGTGGCTTGTCTCCCCCCCCCCGCTGGGACTGTCTCCCCCTGTGGCTTATCTCCCCCGTGGCTTGTCTCCCCCTGTGACTCCCACCTGCTCAGGAGGGCTTGTCTCTCCTGTGGCTTGTCTCCCCCTGTGACTCCCACCTGCTCAGGACCCTTCCTCCATCAACGCCTTCTCCCCGTCCGCTCACCCTCCTCATGGTCTAAACATGCTCATGTTGTTTTTATGTCCTAAAAGCTATTTTTTCTCTCCTTTGCTCCTATAATTACTGCCCTAACCCACTCATTCCCTTCACACCTGAGCTTCTGGAGAAACACTTCTTGTCTCCATTGTCTCTCATCCCAGGTAAGATTCAACCTGCTTACGGTCTAACAGCCGTGGGCAAACTACGGCCTGCGGGCAGATCTAGCCCGTTTGAAATGAATAAAACTAAAAAAAAAAAAAAAATTTGTTTTTATGTCCTAAAAGCTATTTTTTCTCTCCTTTGCTCCTATAATTACTGCCCTAACCCACTCATTCCCTTCACACCTGAGCTTCCGGAGAAACACTTCTTGGCTCTCATCCCAGGTAAGATTCAACCTGCTTATGGTCTAGCATCTTCTTCACACTTCACTGGAAATGCTTTCTCAAGGTCAACAAAGACCAAGGTTAACGGACTCCTTTTTGGCTTTAATCTTCCTCGTCCTCTCGGCTGCATTTGACCCATCTGACCAAGCACTCTTTAAAATGTTCTCTGTGGCTTCTCAAAATTTACTCCTACCCCCTTCGCTTCCTACGAGGACTCTTCTTCTTCCTGCCCTTTAAATGTGAAAATCCCCTCTCTTCTTTCTGTTCTCTGACATCTCTCATATGTCTTATTACCGAATGACTAGGGTGGTTTCCTAATGGGTCGCCTTGCCTCCAAAAACCTAAACACACTTTTGTACTAAACGTCTCTGGGGGCCATGGTGGTACTTTAGGCAGCTTTGTATTCCCAGAACCTATAACAGGCTCATGGAATGCCTCTTTTATTTTTTTATTTTATTTTTTTACATATTTCTTTATTGATTTCAGAGAGGAAGGAGGAAGGAGAGAGAGATAGAAACATCAATGATGAGAGAGAATCATTGATTGGCTGCCTCCTGCACGCCCCCCACTGGGGATCAAGCCTGCAACCCAGGCATGTGCCCTTGGCCGGAATCGAACCTGGGACCCTTCAATCCGCAGGCTGACGCTATATCCACTGAGCCAAGCCGGCCAGGGCTGGAATGCCTCTTTTATACATTCCATGGCTGTTGCATTTCTTGCTCTGTATTATAATTAGGTCTTCATGTGTCTATGTTCCATCTAGACTTTGACAATCTTAGAGAAAGTTTATGACTTACTCATTTCTAATACAGTGCCTGCCATTTGGGAACAGATAGCTGGAACAATGCTGAATGAAAAAAGGAATAATTGAAGAGAAGGATCTTCTGTCTATTCCTTTAAGAAAAGATATAAGTTTGCAAACACTGATTTCATATTAAGCCAATGAAAAATCTCCCCACAAAAGAAATCATGGCCTCATTCTATAACCACACTGTAACAAAACTATAAAATAATTACAAAAGTATAAGTTGAAAAAGAGCTAAGCTCTTGGAAAATTTTTATAAGTCTTCTTTTTAAAAAATGCATTGATTGGAGAAGAAATAAAAAGGTAATTACAGGATGCTTATAAGTTTTTAATAATGATAACACCACATATCAAATATTGTGGGCAGAGCCATAGGAGTTAATTAGAGACAAACTGCCCCCAAGAAGATGTTGAAAAACAACAGATCAATAATCATGGAAAAATGTAAAAGTTATTGAGAAATTGTTTCCAAGGAATGTTCTTAGTCCAAATTACTTGCACAATCAAGTTCTCTCCGATTTTCAAGCCACAGATAATTTCCAAACTATATAAAATGTTCAAGCGGAGAAAGGTAACAAAAGCTAACATAATACCTGTGACTTAAAACAAACTGATAAACCATAATAAAGGAAACTGCAGACTAACCTCATGTATACACATGGTTTACCTTAGAGATGTAAAAAGAAATCAGTATTAAGGAATGCATTAGCATAATGACATAAATAAGTCAATTGAAAAAAGATTTTGAATTAGCGCAATGGGTAATCTTGAAATATCTTTTGATAAAATTCAATATTATTTTTTAATTAGTAAAACGAAGTTAGAATTTTTCTTAGCATGCTGAAGTTATCTGTATCAAACCAAACACAACATCAGAAACAAGAAAAGGATGCTCACTGTCACTACCATTTAGCACTGTTCTGGGCATTTGAACCATTACAACCAGACAAGAAAAAGAAACTAAAGAAGAATTATGAGAAAGTAGGAGACAAAATCATCCAACTTGTACACGTTACAATCATTTACTTAATAGAATCAAATTTTTTATTGTTGTTAATCCTCACCAAAGGGTATTTTTTCCATTGAATTTTTAGAGAGAGTGGGACGGAGGAAGGGAGGGAGTGAGGGGAAGGAAGAAGGAGAGAGAAAGATAGAGATAGAGATAGAGATAGAGATAGAGAGAGAGAGAGAGAGAGAGAGAGAGAAAGAGAGAGAGAGAGAGAGAAACATCGATGTGACAGAGACACATCGATTGGTTGCCTCCCATCCCCAACTTACCCCCAACAGGAGACAGGAATTGAACCCACAACCCAGGAATGTGCCCTTGACTCTTTGGTTGTGGGGCCTCGTGCTCTAACAGCTGAGCAATACTGGCCAGGGCAATAGAATCAACTTTTTAAAAATGTTTGAAATAATCAGTGAGGTAAAGACACAAAATAAACACACGAAATTCATATAATTTTCCATATAACAGCCAAAAACTGTTTAAAAATATAATGGAAAAAATCTCATTCAAAATAGCAACAATAACAAAATTTCTAGGAATAATAAAACGTGAATATTTTTTAAAATGTATAAAACTCTATGAGAAAATAGGATAGATTTGAATAAATTGAGAGTTATACAAGTTTCCAGGACTAAAAGACTCAACATTGTAAAGGTGTCAATTCTCTCCTATTTAATTTATAAATATAATTAAATTTTGGTTGAAATCCCAAGAGATGTTTTTAAACAGGACAAAAAAGAAACCCTGAAGTTTATTTGAAAGACTTTAAAAACTGAATTTAAATATTGAATTTGAAAAATTTTCTAAATAAAATTTTAGAAAACAACAAGGAGAGGGTACTAGTTATTAAATAGGCTAAAATTATCAAAAACTAAAAGTTTGATACTGGTTCCAAAAG